ACATGTTACAGTAAAGGAATGCAGGATTTGGTTTGTTTGGATGTTAACCTCGTGGTTAAGCGAGCAAACGAATAGTGAATTGAAGTGAAAAGAAACCCTGGATAGCTACTGTGACCGGATTGGGTCTCATCAGCAATACAATTGGGGTTTTTTGGTTGTGAATGAGTGGTCTCTTCATCTGAAGCAGCGTGCCTGTGTGTGAACATTGTCACCCTTTTCTTCCAATATTAATAGAGATTGGCGAAATGCCTTTTGCATTTCTAATCTAGTAACTCTTGTTAATGTGGTTTCGAACATCGACGAGGCATTAATTCATGGCTCGAACCAGTTTCGATTGAGTTCAACGAGTGGATCGATTTCTCAGGCGTGTTCATGGTCATAGTAAACGAAATTGGGTTACCTGTCGATTCCAGTGGAACGCCGATCGCAGCTTGTCAGTCAATTGAATGATGCATTAGCTATACAGGTATTTTTACAACGATTTCATTCATTCGATTCAAGGTCGTACTGTAATGATTTTAATTAAGTCTAACCAATTTTAATGTCAAGCTCTCACTCTCTGTACACAGGTGAACATCATTACCGATAAGAATGTGTCCCGAATCGATGCACGGTTTTGCTATCGAGGATACCGATGCGACAGCTACACAGCGATGGATGGAGGTAAATCGTACGAGACCAAATGCTGTTTCAAGGATAAATGTAATAATGAGTCACTGAAATGCAAGAAAACGAGGAGGAGGGTTGGGAGCAGGAAGATTAAAAAACGATCCAGATCCAACGGTGTCTGTATCCCTGTTTTGTAATTCTCTCCTTCAACTAGTCTCAATACACATGTCAATTTGACTTGATTTTCGTTCAAGTAAACCGGGTAGCTCCAACTTAACCGAAACGACTATGGTCGGACTCAAAACGAAATCCCATCCTTCATGCAGCCTATCAGCTCCATCGATTACCTAGGTAATATTTGCCTCCAAGCGTGCTACTAAACGTGCTCACACTGTGTAAAACTTTGCCCATGTGTTTTTTCCTTTTAAAACACAAAATCTATTGCTTAATACCGTGGCATAAAAGCCCAATTCTGTAACGTTTTTTTCGTATTTTCGATCCGTTATTCCTGGTATGAATTCTGTTTTATTTTCTATTTTCCGTACCAACTGTGATTCTCATTTTATCGGACCCTTCAAAATCTTCTTCCTTTTTTCTCTTTCTTTACCACACCTCTACACTAAATCAGTACGTTACCCTTGGTTCAATACAGTTGAACAGCGTAGATTCCGTCATCGGTGCACTCCACAAATCCTTACTCTCGAGAAGATATCACTCAAACTTTGAGCAATTTTTTCATGGGCGTCTAGTGAGCAGAAGATTATATCCGTCGTCGTACGGAGAACAGTTAGTATACTCCTCCACCGTCAGTAGCTATCCAGTTTACATCAGTGCGAAAGCTCTATTCTTCATATTGCCTTACCTACTACTCATAGGGATTCCTTATCTTAACATGACATTGGAGTGATTGATCTTTGAAGCATCCCTTTTTTACTACGGAATGATTTATATATGTTCTTTAATCGCTTAACGTTCATTAACCACCCGGTCGGTCGGACATTTCTGCTCCCTCTAAACTCTTCATTCCCAATTGGAGCCCGCTTTTCCACTTCCGAAGCATTGTTACAAATTAGCGCGGGGTATGCATTGAAGATAATGTGATCATTGAGACTTTTCCAATTCTGAAACACAAAGATTCTTACACACGTAAATCTCACCCACACAGATTCAAAAGAATCAGAAACTAATAATACTGACTGTTTACGCTCTTACGCCTGATTAATGGACGGCTCCGGAAAGGTTGCGAATGTGGCTTTTCACGGCATCGTCCCCTGGGCAGTCGTACACACTAGTCGCCATCTTTACTCAAACAGCCTCAGGCTCGTAACCATTCCACCATGCATGCCGTCAAGGTTTAGTGACAAACTAATTCACTTCCGGGATAGATTTGGTACATCCCTCCTTGATTTCTAGCAACCTCAGTCATCGGAAAAGGGTCCGCTTAGCCTTCTTGAAATGCAAACCCTAAGGACACAATTTTCAGTGATACCATCGAATACAATTGAATTCCTCATGCCTCCATTCACTCATGTCCTTCCCGATTTAGATCTTTATTGTAGTACTTCCTTAGTCTCCTTCTTTTCTGTCCATGAATGTTCCTCTGCGTACACTTTCCAGCCCGTCCCGGGTTTTCCTCTACCGTCAGCTTTGTTCTATCTACAGCATCAGGCTGTTTACAATTCTCTCCTCGTCTTTTCACTAGCCTCTTTTTTCTAGCATTCTCTCTGGCCAGCCTGTCATATACCGTCACGGTTGTCTTCATTAAAACCAAAGACAGAGTAATGGATCCATTACCAATCTGCGAAAAATGCGCTTTTAAGAGATAACGTTGCTTTAAAAAGTTCTTTCGGTGGGTTCTTCTGGAGTCTGAGTAGGACTTATGGTAGCAGGGAGCTTACATGCTACCTGGAAGATAACATATGCGTTTGTGCGTCGAATGGTTGATTCGAATGCGTTCTCGTAGTTCAGCTAGCAGAACGTGCACAAAAGTGTAGGCAGTTTCTATGCGTGGATTCACTTTTCTACCAAGGTTACCGAACTTTGCACAATTATAATATGTTCAATGTTCTGCTCATGGGTCTGTGTGATTACCAATGTACAGTGATTCATTCGCATGTTGGGAAGACCGCGGAGTTTGAAATACGAAGCAGTTGAGAATATATTGCAAGGTGAACCATGTCATAATGACACGATCAAAGTAATAACTATTGGAAGAGTGTAATAACAAGGAATATCCAGGACATTTCTCTGATAATCCAGACTTCCGCGACCCCAATCCATGCACCACCAGGTACAGCTTCAATTCATCAAATCGCCGATCAGCAAGTTTGACCAATGGTACACCGAACGAACATGACATCCGAGTTAGTTCATATGATGCTTCGGAGCAAACGGTTACGTAACTGGACGACGGCCCTTCAACCAATCATATGAGCTATTACCTTCTATAAAACATGCTGTAATTCTATCAATAAACATAAGCATTTGCTGCTATCAATTCCTCGTGTATTTCATTGGTGTCCGCAGTTCAGGTTGGAGCCAATCCAGCTCTGAGCAGTATGTTACCGGGTTCTCGTATTTCTACATTCAGTACTATTCCAATCAACACAATTTCTTTCCGCTAACTAACTACATGACATGTAACCCCGTTTGTGCTTTGAACCGTCTCAAACACCAGACTTGTGTTTAAACTTGTTGTTGCTACACGCATGAGTCTGGGTCCAATGCACCGAAATGCTACCAACGCGTTCGGAATTCGGAGCCCGGGCAGATAAAGTTAATCCTCATATGACTATCGATCAATGAGTGCAATTACGGGATTTGATTTTGGTATGGCTATATGACAAAATGTAGCAATCAATATTCCGGTCGATGGTTTATGTTTCTTGCTGGTTTGGGTTGCATTTCCGGTTCGCCTTCCATCTAACCTGACCGTTGTGCACGATTGTTCCGATTCCGATGCATACTTTCGTAGACCAAGAGCGGAAAGCTCCAGTTTGGCATTGATGACATTGAATATTTAGGCGTAGACCATGCTTCGATAGTTTTCTGCAGCATTTCACAGTTCACACCTGCCCTGGAAGCCGGTTATTGTATTCAAGCAGTTGCTTCAGAAAGGTTTTGTCCCACACAAAGGTATCGAGCTGCCTAAATGGAACGGTAGCTGTACGTGTGCTTTATTAGTTTCAAATCTGCAAACATAAGTTACTTTCTTCGTGGCAGCATGCGATGAATTTATGGATACTAAAGTGGCTTTTTGCGTACAATAAAGGAGTGAGAATACTACGAAGACCTAAGAAACATTCATCATAATTAGCGTGCTATTCTGTTTGAATAATCATCGGATCGCAGGTTCCACAGTTAACGACAGTTTAATCCGGGCTGATTTGCTCACAATTAACTGATTTTTCACATCTGCTTAAACTTAATGTTCACAAAAATTTGACTAATGTAGGCAATGCTATTTCCAAACAGGTGTTCAATATAATTCCTTTTGTTCCTGCTGTGCCCCTCTTACTGAATATTTTATGACGATTAGATAGTCGCATTTCATCATTAGCCAATAATACTCACTTTGTGTGGAATGATGATCTTTGAGTACCCGGTTCTCCAGCTGGACGAGTGGACGAATTCTCACCTTGAACAGATCGCACATCCTCTTATTTTACTTTCAATGAAATAAGCAAAACAGGGAACATTTTGCAAAACATTATTATCAACATTTTTCTACTAAAAAACTAAAGTGATTGATGTTATGGCTTACAACTGAGTGATTTGTGTTCATACATGCTTGCGGTCAAATTGATTGATCGATCGATCGGTTGATCGATTAACTGACT